AAAAAAATAATTGTTAAAAGAATAGACCATCATATTCAAAAAATAATTCTTATAAACAAAACATTAGAAAATATATTTATGTTTTAGTATTAAATTCTACTTGTAAAAATGATTGATTTTCTAAATTTAAAACATTTAAACTAGTGGCTAACATAACTTAATATTCTGATTTAATTGCAGAAACATTTTTCTCTGAAGTGACAAAGATAATTAGTATAGGACTGAATAAAGTGGAAAATGCCACATTACTTTGAACTCTGAGAACATTATACTATGAGCTACACTAGAAATTTAATATAATATACAGAGCTCAAAGATTATCCCTTTTATGTGACCTGTATATGTATAAAATATAAATCTTACTCTTCAATATGCAAAACACTGATCTTCACATAAAAAGATAAGGTTAAACAGTGTATTTTTCATCCCAAAATTTTTTAACTGTTTAATAACCATATAAAATTATTTGGTCTTATTAACTTATTCACCAAGTAGGATACTTGTGAGATCAGAAATAAATTAAAACTTGTATCACCTCATTCTCTGCTCTTAGATTTGCAAATTCACTTTTCTCTAGAATGACCATGTCTTTCCTGATGGAGTCCAAGTGAGCCATTAGCTGTTGTACTGTTATTTCCTAGAAAACAAAATAAAAATAACCTAGTCATCTATGGAATGCCATCCTTTTATTTATGAAATTGTTTTCATGAAATTTAAAGCAATTTTTTTTAACATGTTACAAGGTATAATGTTGCTTGGCTAAGTTAAAAAAGTATGAAACCTATACATCTGAAATATCAAAATGAAAAGGCAGAGATTCAAGGAAGAAAAAAGTATTTCCCAGTAAAGAGAAATGAATGTCTAGGTCTTTTAATGAAAATAGCAATAAAATATTCACTTAGCCCCTAAGAGATCTTCAACAAATAATGTTTTGGTTTTGTTTTTTGAATACCTAAATCGAAAAGAGTTTTATCATCTTTTATTGCTTTGCTTTTGAGGAATTTTCTACCTTTGGAAAATTCCAGGGTATTGGATGAGACTTGGAAGTCTGGTAGTAAAACAAAATAGATAGATGTATGGTTAAGATGTATGGTTAAAATAACTGCCCTTTGTCAGCAAACATAATTAGTTTTGTTTAAATTCCTGGATATTTTTCCTATATTTGGCAATACAGAGAATATGTGAAAGAAAAGGTGGCTCCTACCTGAAAGATTTATAAACTTTTGCTTTGCTAGGGAGGGACATTTTTTGTAGAAATGATTTAAGGTAGCCTCACAAAGAAAATATAACTGTCACCACTAAACTTCTTAAAATTAGGTAGCTTGCTGACTCATCATTATTCCTCTTTACCAAAAGAGACAGCAGATGAGGGTGTAACCTTGAAAAGGACTCTGTGTAACAGGGTTTATAAACTAAACAAAAAGCCCAAACAAGAACAGGATCACCAGCTGGAACTCTCATTTTTAAAGTCACAATTTGCAGCCAGGGGTACTTTCTTGGGGTTGCAGTCCTCCATCTGTTTCGAAATTAACTTGACTTTTAGGAAAAAGAGGCTATAACAATTCTAGACACATGACCAAGAAACGACTGTCTTCAAAGGGTCTGAAATGCACATGTCTTCTTCAAGAACAACTTTCAGATTGCACAGTCACATAAGGTAGACAGAGGTTGAAAATATGAGTTCTGGTGTCAGGCTGTCTGGATTTGAATCCAAACTGCTCTT